AAGTGTTGACTCCATGTTGAACGGCGAGATCTGGCAGAAAAAAGCATTAAAACGAATAGTGCACAAACTGGTCCACCGCTATCGTTCAATCAATATGGCCAACATCACCTACAGACAATTGAGCCCTAAAAGTTTATTCAATGGATTCTGGCGGCATCTAAGGTAAATTTGCAATGCCACACCGCTCACATGCTACCTGGGGGATTCCACATGCCGGTATCAGTTGGTGGTGGATCACCCAATTTTTCTTCGTATTCTTAAATAAAGTTCAGGTTTGCCCAACCAATAGACATTCCATTGGGAAACCCTTTATTAAGTTTTGTTTCTTCTCTCTTTTCTGACTAAAAAACAACTTTCCGAACTATGTAAACGTAACGTAGTGTGTCGACTCCTGTTTTCCAGTGGACAATTACCGAATAACGCCACAGTTGGTTGAGAATTTTCACGTGTGCAAGCACTGAAATTATCAGGCAAAATATCACGTTGTATAATGTGCCAAGTTTGAATCGGCCCATGATAGCATTGAGAAAACGAATCGGTGAGCGAACTATTGTTTTCCGATAGTCTTAGTCATGCTGTTATAAATCCTATAGTGGAAGAAGTTCTTATATAATGACAGTCAGGACCAAGGGTAATCATGTCTTGGGCATATCCACTTTAGATTGGAGAAAGTCCAACAAATGGACAGTTTGCAGCAGGTAACCGATGAATGCAGACAAGCACCAAACAAGTGCAGTATTTTTCGTTTGGCTTAGGTTAAAACGAAATGAGCAGGAACTCTCCCAGGTCGGTGTTTGCATTGTTTGTGCACGTCAGAACGTGTTTGGAATAATACTCAAACGAATGGCACCATTCTAAACGTGTGAAGGTGCAAAACGTGTTATTTTGTTTTCTCTGTTGTTGATCAAAAATAGAGGATTCTTATGTTACTTTTTCGGTTTTTTTGTTTTCTTTAATTCAGTGAAAAATAAGATGAAAACGACAGGAAATTGCACTTGTTACTTTGCCTAACACGAACGATGAAGAGGAATAAATGAAAGGTGGGTTCGTTTCTTTGATCTTTGTTTTATCCCCACCGACTTTCTCAATTCCGGGAGTAGATGAGTTCGCCTTATCACATCTCTCGCTTTTCATCTACTCAAGCTTAAAATTATCCCTAGCAACTGACATGTATCGCCTTGGAGCGATGCCTTTGTTTTAACGGTTCTAGTGGTAAGAAAAATCTTGAAACCCAGTGTAACAATCCGATATACTTTGAGGAATAATTCATTTTAATGAAGAGATAAGATTTTGTTCTGGACGGTTATTTTAGTCATGAACCTAAGTGACTGACCAGTAAAGCAAAACTGCCCGAGTTGCACGAGTCAGTTATACACGCATTTCTTAAGAATTTCGTCAAACAAAAATGAAGTTTTATCGTGCTACTTTGTACCCCTCATTTCCTCTCATTCCGGAAGTGAAACCCTCTCTAGCATGCATGTAACTTTTTATCCGTTTCTTTTAGCTGTTCTGGATGGATATGGAATGTTGGAGAAAATCAGTAAGAAACTGATAAATATTTCATCAAACTCGGAAAACGCTTCAATTGCTTGTATTCATTTTATTAATACCGTTGTAACCAGGAAACGGATTGGTTGTCTCATAAATGCATCTAGTACGGAGTTCTTTCTGAATCCCACGGTCACGTGTATGTAGAAATGAGAGAGAAGTGATAGTGATTTTGCATTAACAATTTTTCAGACCTGACCTTGGCGCGGTTCATCCAGTGAGACATTCGCGGGGCAGCAATGGTTTGTTTCGCACTCGTTAGATCTCACCGGTTTTGCATCTTCATCGGATCGTTAAGACTGAGAACTCCGGATCTATCAAGTCCGAAACAACGGTGTGCTACCGTTTTACAATTGAGATAGCGCCAGATTTAAACCACATTGGCATCACCACAGACAACCACTCGGTTCGTTCGACTCAACAGTAACGAAGGGACATATCTTGTGGTGACTGCCAACCGAGCCTTGATCTCAACTCATAGTTTTCTGTTCACCTTAATGTATTACATTCGAAGTAAAACTTCACTGTTATCTGACTGAACGTTTTATGTTTGAAGTTTACTAAATGTTCAACCCTTTTCACTTGCTTTGTTCACTTCAACAGCATTCTGATGTTCATTTTCGAATTAAAAACGTCCTCTCAGTTTGCACGTCAGCTTCGCCAAATTCGTACCACTGTCTGCGTAAAACGGAAGTGAGAATTATCAAATGTGCTTTACTTCTTTAAAGAAACCTTCGTTTTCATTGTGTTGTGATGGCCAAGTGGTTAGGTCACCAACCAGTGAACTGGGTGTTCCGGGTTCAAACTGCTCCACCACCGCCCGTCTTCCCTATATCTGTATTTTCCCCAGGCAGCCTTTGTACGGCCGCAGCCCCCTTCCTGAAAGTTGACTGTATATTTGTATATTCAATAAATAGAAAATGGAAGTAAAAAAAACATTTTCTTGCTGAACAAATTTAATAGGGTGTTGTTTGTAAATGGCGCATAAAAAGCACTCGCTTCTCTCTCGACCTCTGTCAATATTACACATGCATTTAACTCTATCTGTTATTATCTATTGATTGTTTCATGCATGGTTATTACGATGAAGTTCCCATTTATTTTTCCTTTACCAATTACCCAATCTCCTTTTGGTGAGTTTTGTTTTGTTGCACCCTGTGTTTCCCGTTTCGAGTGCTCAACTCTACGTCCTACTAACTGACCAATCAGCACTGTGCGCACGGATTTAGACCAATAACAGTCAGACGGTTGGCTTGGTTTGCTCAGCAGACCTCGTTTTACCTGGGAAGGACTGACAAAGTGGACTCTGTCTCGGTACGAAAAAGATGCACGTGTTTCTGTTTGGTCACGGATAAAACACACACTATTGTGATTTGATTTTCCACACTTTTCGCTGATTTATTTTTGTTGTCGTTTGAATCATCAGCGATATGACACAATTTTTTACACGTTCAAAAAAATCGGTCGCAACTAATCAGGGTGGAGACTATTCTATGGGACATACTTCTTATTCCGGTCCATCTCTCATGCTAGCGAGCAGTCAGATACGAAACGGTCTGCTCGATTCATCCACCTTAACCAATTCAGAATTCTTCTATGATTTGCCTCGTGACCAAGAGGACAGGGAATCCAAACGAGATCGGTCGGGGCCAAAATCGGTTGATCCGACAAACACGGACGTAACGGATGACGCAGACTTTGGACAGAGCGTTCGGATGATCGCTAAAAGCCGAACATCACACGTATCAGGAATCGAAAAAGCCACAAATTTAAGGCGGGTGAAAAAGTCAGATCCCACCGATGATATCACAAATGGACGAGCTCAACTCCTGAACTCATCCCCCGCGCTTGAAGTCAAGACGAGACCGGGTGACAAGCGAACTGTCAACGCGCAAAACGGGAACGACAGGACACAGAATGGATTTTCACAAAAACTGCAGACCGGTTTCGGAAAAATTAAATCCACAATAATCCCTGCAAATAGTTCCGCGTGTTTATCTCCGTGTGCATTACCCTGTCAATGTAGTACCCGGACAAAAGTCCTCATCATTGTGTCCCTATTGCTCTTCCTCGTGGTTTTCAGTGTGATTGTTCTCGGTCTGGCTTTCACCGTGGATCGACCTAAACAAAAATCGGAACCGCCG